AGATAACTATGAAGTAGGGCATATGCATAGAGATCTCTTTTCATAAGAAATATGTTAACATTTCTATGGTAAGATTAATTTTTTTATTTTTAGAATTTTGGAAAACTGATTATCAAAAGGAGAAGAGCAAAGAAAACCAACCTAAACACTTGTGGGGAGTTGTATTCATCAATAACACAGTGCTGGCAATAGAACAAGGTAATGCAATAGGGAAACCATTTAACTTGGATATAAATTCTTTTCCTCCCAGCAAAGTATCATGTCATTGTGACTCACATGGAATGAGTTTCAACAATATTTCAGAATTGGTTATTAGTAGAAAAAACTACTTAGGAAAAAAGCCTGATGAATTTAATGCCTATAGGAAATTGCTACTCAAAATTAGTGAGAAAAGTGAATGTTTAAAACATAGGAATTGTTTTGGTTATCAAGATAATTACATTCAGCATGAAGACATTGAAATTTTAGACAGACTATTTGAATACCGTGAATTTCAGGAAACCTTTCTTGAAAAAACAATATTCAGCACATATAAGAGAGAGAACAAAGAAGAGAATGACAGTGAATACAATGCGTGCAGGAGAACTTTCTGTGATGGCTCGTCCTTATTCCCTGAGGCATATCCCTCAAAAGAGAATCACTATGAGGTCACTGATGATGAGAAATCCTTCCTTGGGATGTCTACCCCTTTCAAACATGATGAGATACATATGAGATATAACAAAAGTGGGAATGACTTCCAGAGGAAGTTATGTCTCTCCCAACTTCAGAAAATTCATAAAGCAGAGAAGCATTTTGAGTGTAGTGAATGTGGGAAAGCTTTCTGGGTGAAATCACACCTCATCCGACATCACAGGGTACACTCAGGAGAGAAACGCTTTCAATGTAATGAATGTGATAAAGCTTTCTGGGAGAAGTCAAACCTCATGAAACATCGTAGATCACATACTGGGGAGAAACCCTATGAATGCAGTCACTGTGGAAAAGCCTTTGGCCATAAATCAGCCCTCACTTTACACCAGAGAACACATACAGGAGAGAAACCTTATCAGTGTACTGCATGTGGGAAAACTTTTTACCAGAAGTCAGACCTCACCAAACATCAGAGAACACACACAGGACTAAAACCCTATGAATGTTACGAATGTGGAAAGTCCTTTTGTATGAACTCACACCTTACCGTCCATCAGAGAACACACACAGGTGAAAAACCCTTTGAATGTCCAGAATGTGGAAAATCTTTTTGTCAAAAATCACATCTTACACAGCATCAGAGAACTCACATAGGGGATAAACCCTATATATGTAATTCATGTGGGAAAACTTTCTATCACAAATCGGTACTCACCAGGCATCAGATAATCCACACAGGATTGAAACCTTACAAATGTTACATATGTGAGAAAACTTTCTGCTTAAAGTCAGACCTCACAGTACATCAGAGAACTCACACAGGGGAGAAACCTTTTGCATGTCCTGAATGTGGGAAATTCTTCAGTCATAAGTCAACCCTCTCTCAACATTATAGAACACACACTGGAGAGAGACCCTATGAATGTCAGGAATGTGGAAAAATCTTTTACAATAAATCATACTTAACTAAGCATAATAGAACACACACTGGGGAGAAACCCTATGAATGCAATGAATGTGGGAAAACTTTCTGCCAGAAGTCACAGCTCACTCAGCACCAGAGAATTCACATAGGGGAGAAACCCTATCAATGTACTGAATGTGGAAAAGCTTTCTGCCATAAATCAGCTCTAATTGTGCATCAGAGAACCCATGCGGAAGAAAAGCCCTATAAATGCAATGAATGTGGAAAGTCTTTCTGTGTGAAGTCAGGACTTGTTTTACATCAGAGAAAACACACAGGGGAGAAACCTTATCAATGTAATGAATGTGGGAAATCCTTCAGTCACAAATCATCCCTCACAGTACATCACAGGACTCACACAGGAGAGAAATCCTGTCAGTGTAATGAGTGTGGGAAAATCTTTTACCGTAAATCAGACCTTGCTAAACATCAAAGATCACACACAGGGGAGAAGCCCTATGGATGTAACATATGTGGGAAAACTTTCTCTCAAAAGTCAAATCTTATTGTACATCAGAGGACACACCAGTAGAAAAGTCTTAAGAATGAAAAGAGTAATAGAGTATTTGACCACCAGGCAGCCACTTCATTATACTTCAGGGAATTCACACTGCAGAAGGCTCTTTTGACATTCTGAATATTTAGTAATCTTCACTCGCAATGTTATGTTACAGAGTAATGACAGGGTAAACTTGTAGTCTGTGTTATGCATTATTGATTTCCCAGAGTGTCATAGAAGAAGCATCTGTCTCCAAATTGAGAGGGCACTGACAGTCCAAAGAAAGACTTGGACAAGTACAGCTTGGTTAATGAGTTTATTTTTGGTTATTTATAGGGTGGTGGGTGACCTGCAGGACTACCAAAGTTGCCATTCCTCTTTTACTAAGCTATTTGTTTTATAGGAGTCTTAAGGTAGATAGGAAAATTAGGAAATAGGACTCTTAACATAAATAGGAAAAAGTCGAAACCAGTGATAAGTGTCCTGTGCTGTGTTCCACTCATTCTTATTGGCTATTGCACTAATCTCAGCAAGGACTATCAGGCACAGTGCTGAGTGATTTTGCTGTGCTTCAGCCTGGCATACAGCCCTAGCCCCTTTCAGGAATGCACTGGAAAGCCAAGTAGTAGCTCACTGTAAGACAGAGTTGGTTTGGCTAGGGTTTAGAGGACTTTTTCCCCTATATGCCACCCATTCTTCTGGATTTTTTATTTTTGCTGCCACTTCAGTGATGTCTTTGATCTTGGAAGGAGAGATATCTCATTTAACTGAAGGCTGAACATCAGGTTAGTATGTCACACCAACAATGCAGTCTATAGTAGCACACTTGCTCTGAGAACAACACAAACACCAGTCAAAGGTACATGTTCCCAGGTAGAAATCCTAGCAGAAACACCATAGATATCTGAAAGTCCTACATTAGGACTATCTGCTTATAGACATATAAATGCTCTATACATTTGCTTGTAAGTGGCTTAATGTATCTATTACTTTAGCCTCATTATCTGGCATACAAGCACAGTACGTGGTGCCTTCGTTGGTAGCAGTCTGCATGTCCAAGGTCATTCTGTGTTGAAATAACCATCTTTCACATTCATTATCTCCATAATAGCTTTCCAAGCACTTGCTGGTGTTCTCTTTCCCATTGTGCCAGCCATAGGTCCAGTTCTCAGAAGACCACCCACTGATCTGTGCAGTCAGAGGCCATTCCTCATGAACAACTATCATCCATACCACTTTTAGATCAGTCCATTGGCTGCCAAAATTTCCCTTTCCCATTGTCTATATCTGTGTCAGTACTGCTTCCCATTCCAGTTTTTTACCCCCACTGGTGCCATTGGTGTAGTAAGTGCCTTCAAGAGTGGGCAGTGTCCTTTCTAACTCCTTGTCTATCGAGGCTCAATGTTGGTTCAGTCACCTAAAGTAGTTCCATAGCTTTAAAGGCTGTCAGCCCCAGTATTGCCTTCATGGCATTTGTCACATGGCTAGCTGATAGGACTGCACACTGTACAAGTGTGCATGCCATTTTCATAAATTATGCTGCTCTGAAAGGGAGTTGACCATCAGGCCTTTATTCCTAGCCCTTCATTGGATATGCTTTCTGTACTGTCACTGAATAGGTTCAGTGGTGGACTTCATGTGCTGCAGCGCTTTACATATAGCCAGAAGTTGCTGCTCCAGTGTCATATACTATATCCAGTTTCTTCCCCTTTCCATGATTGGGCCACAATGCTGTTAAAATTGTCTGTTGATTGTTTCTGCTATGATCCCAGCTGTAGCTCTCAGGGCTCCTGATACAAGCGTTGGATTACTGGGATATATAACTATTTAGCTTACCTTGCAAGTATCTTAGCTTGCTCAAAATTCTCAAGCCCTATTTTTCCCAATTCCATGGTCACCTTTTTTCAGAGTTATGTAATACGCAGAAAAATTGAGCAAAGTGGGATATAAACTATGTCAGTACCCCAGGACTTCCAGAAATACCACTAGTTACTTTACAACAATTGACACAGTCTGTTTTACTAGATTAACTCATGGAGGCCAGACCCTCCATCATCCCTAGTTCTAACACCTCACGGCTTTATCCCAGTTCTCCTTTTCTTGTGTTTGCTTGACATAGGGTTGTGATTGGAGCTCAACCTCTACTGTTGTAGAGAAGACAAGTCAACCTAGGGTTTCTGTAATCATACAAAGCCTTCCTCCAATCACATTGCATTTGCATTGTCACTAGCAAATGACATTTCCTATAGTCTGTGGGATACTTTCAAGCCATCACAAATGCACACACATGAGGTTTCCTAGACATTCTTAATAGTCCTCATGTTTCCCTACATGGAGGCAGATAACTGTCTAGGATTTCCCCTTGAGCAGATATCTCAGTGTCAGTAGCATGTCTTGCCAACCATATCAGGGGCCTTTAAACATTTGCTACTGCTCTGTTGCAATCCTATCCCATCTGGACTCTCCAAGATTGTGGTATATTTTCCAGTCTATTGCATGTAGATTAAACTCATTTAGGCAGTGCCCCAGCCCATATACATGCAAAGGATGGCTACCCTGGCATTTTCCCCATGGGTACTCTTGCCTGACTCATCTCTGGATCTGGTAGGTCAGGCTTCAAATCTTGCATGAATTTCCCAGAGCAATGTAAAAAAAAAATTTTTTTTTGCTTATAAATTGGAATGGCATTGACAGTCCAAAGAATGACTCCAACAAGTTCAGTTTTGCAAACAAGTGGGTTTATCATGGCTTACTTACACAGAAGTAGATATCTTATGGCTGCAGCATTACTGAAGTTACACACACATACCCTTTGCTAAGCTCCTGGTTTTCTAGGACTCTACACAGCAAAAACTAGAAGCAACAGACGAGCGTCGTTGGGAAAAGTTATTTGTACTTTATTGCTACCCATCCTAGCAATAAAGGGAACCCCACAGGTCTTAGCATCTAGCTAGAGCCCACAGGACAGCTAAATAGTGGCATTATGAGATAGTGTGGCTGTGTTTGAAGAAGTGTTTTCTCTATAAGACATCCTTTGTTAAGATTAAGATGTAAAGAGCTGGATGTGGTGGTACATGCCTTGTAATCCCAGCACTGGGAGGCTGAGGCAGGGGGATCACCATGAATTCAAGGCCAGCCTGAATGTAGTGAGTTTAAGACCAGCCTGAACTATGTAGTGTGACCCTGACTCAGGAAAATATGAAGTTTTACATGTGCTATCAATTGTTTTTATGAAAAACTAGATTATTGAAGAATTTATATTGATAAATGTATTCATTAACTATAAATTAAAATTTTTAATTAGAAATAATATAGTATTACAAGTTGTCTTTTGAATTTGATGCCATGATTGTCTTTTTTTTTTTTTTTTGCCATGATTGTCCTTGGAAATATAAGTAGTTCTATGTTCTGGAATGTAAAACTTTAAAATCTTAATAGGACAGAATAAAAGTACAGAGTATTATATGTCTTTTTAATAATGTTATGTAACCAAATGTACTCTGAAATAGAGCAAATTGATTATGTCATACAACTCGAAATACACTTTATTGAAATATCACCAGATTTTACAGATGCCTTGTCTTTTTGGTATAATTCTGTCAAGTTTTACTGCTTGTAGGTTTGAATGGCCATCTACAAAGATAATTAAGTTACAGAACAATAAGTAATCTTTTCTTTTTATTTTTTGGTGGAACCGGGGATTGAACTCAGGCCCTTGCGCTGGCCAGGGGAGCGCTTATTCCACTGAGCCATCTCCCCGGCCTCTACAATAAGCAATCTTGAGTCTCAGTTGCATCAGGATTATGATTCTTCCTGAGAATCATTTGAACAAGAAGCTTGCACAGGTTAAGAAATAACCTGGACAGAAGTCTTAAATGCATAATAAGAGCATTAAATTCATATGGAAACTATCCTTAACATGCACAGGACGTATATATGCTCACATGGTAAGTTATGTGAAGTGTGTTTGAACTTTATGTACATAATGGAACATAACAGCATGGTGAATGGGAGATAGGTATTCTTAGATTAACAGTTGTCACAATGCCAGGTTCATCCTTAATATTTATTAGGCCTAGAATAACAGTTTAAAAAGAGGCCATCTTAGTTTCTTTTTTCATTGTTGAGACAAAATGCCTGACACCCACAACTTAAAGGAAGAATAATTTATTTTGACTCATAGTTTGTAGAGGTTTCAGTCCTGGCTTCAAGGCAGAGTGGAATGGCAGATGGCTGTTGCAGAAGAGAAACCATCATTGGAAGAGCAGGCAGGAGGCAGCAGCAAGCAGCCTGGCTTCTTTGTGTCTCTGTATATTCAGTCCAGGGTATAAGCCTATTTATCAGTGCCACCCACACCCAGGGTGGGGCTGCCATCATTCACAGAACTGTACTAAACCAATTTAGTTGTCACACACCCTTCATCCCAGTGTCACACACCCATGATCCATCCACCTCACAGAAACCCCAACTATGAGCACATGAGGCTTTGGGTCCATACAGAGGACTAAAGAGGTAATACCTAACCATTCATAAGTTGTAAATAAAACTAAGAGCATGTTTTTAAAAATAGTTTCCATGCATGGGGCAATCTGTATTGATCCTTTTCTCACCATGTTTCCTTCCATGCACAAAGCCTCAGGGCTGGGGAGATAGCTCAGCAGCGTAAGTGCCTGCCTATCAAGAGCAAGGTACTGAGTTTAATCCCTGGTACAAAGAAAAAGAAAAAAAGGGCTCACAAAGCCAGCATTTCACGAGAGTATGACTTTTACTGACATAGGAAATACCATATGCTACATTACACATTAGAATATAAAAATAATTATAACAATTTAATACTATAACATTAAACAGTCTAATAATTTCAGTTTATACAATCAGATCTTACATTTTCTGAAACAAGAAAAAGAAGACCAAGTTAGATCCAGAGTAAGCTGGAGAGGAAAAGATAAGCATCAAAATGAAGTGAAAAAAAAAAAAACCCTAAAAGCATATTCTTTGAAGAAGTCAATAAAATTGTAATTCTGAGCCACCTAGTTTAAAAGAAAATACTTTGGGCCAGGAATATAGCCCAGCCTCACAGCACCTGCCTGGTAAGTGCAAGGCCCTGAGTTCGATTCCCATTACAAGAAAAGAATACATTAGTTGGAAAAAGTATCATTTTTCTGATCCTATGGGTGTTAAAAAGATTATAAGGGAATATTATGGACAATTCTGCCCGTAAATTTGCTAATTTGTCTGATGTGGACCGACTCTTTTTAAGATATAGCTATCAAAATGTCTGCAAGGGTAAATCTTGTGTATAGGCATATTGAAGAAATTGAAGCAGTACTTAATAACCTTTCAAAACATGTACCACAACCTCGTAGATGTACTGCAAAGATCTACCAAATAGGTAGAAATGCTGGTAGTTCTTTCTGGAGTGTTACAGCAGAGGATCACTGCCTGCCTCATTCCTTGTGGCCAGCATTACCCTAATACTCAGTTTAGACACTTCAGGAAGGGCATATACACACAAATACTTACTTTGAATGTAGTTGTAGAATTTTCCACGAAATATTAGTGCATCAAATTCAACAGTGGATCAAAAGAACTATACAACCTGAGTATGTTGGATTTATTGCAGGGATATAAGACTAATATCACATTAGGCCAAAGACAAACTATGACCCTTTCAGTTGTGCAAAAAAAAATTTGAGCCAGTGAGTGTGTGGGAGCGCTTCCAGCTACCCTGCACTGGCAGGACCTGCCAGTCCAAGCCAAGGTGCAGTGTGGGTGAGACCCTCTTCCACCCCCTTGGAACCTCCCCCACTACTCTGCAGCACCCCTCCCCCACCCACCCAGTGAGAATTTCTGCTGCGTTCTGGGGACCCCCAGATCCAGTCCTAGCCCAGGCCTGGTGACTGTGTGGGAGAGCTTCCTCTCCCCCCTATTCCACCTTGTCCCCTCCAGACTCAGCTCAGGCCTGGCATACAGGCCTGGGGTGAAACCCTGCAGCTGCAGTCCCTGCAGAGAGAGTAGGGGACAGAACCACCCAGCTAGTTTATAGCAGAACACCTTGCCAAAGGGGCACATCAGGTTCACTCCCAAGGGCGGCAGCAGGAAGGAACTGAGCACAGCCACCAGACCCAAGCCAGGCACAGCTGAGTAAATCCAAACTTTGTAGATCTGCACCTGAATTTCAGTAGGTGCTAAGGTTATAACTGCACCAAAGTTCTACAACAAAGGGCAGAAGACATTGCTACACAAAATGCCAGTGAGAAGGAGCAAAATTCAATCTCAGAACCCAAGCCCACCCATAACAAGTGCAGAGGATACTAACACAGAAAAATTGGGAATCACACAGCTGAAATCAAAGAATCAATGGCTTCTGAGATAAAGAAGCAACTGTAGAAAGGTATAGAGGAACTCAGATTGAAAGTGAAAAAAGAAATCCCTGAATTAATAGGATCTTCAGTAAAGAATCAAATGCAGAAACATTGGAGGAAACCCAATGCCCACACTGAACAAGTGCAGAGAACACTAGCTCAGCTCAAATGTATGAATTAATAGTGTTGATAGTAAATAAGCAACAGCAGAAAGTTATAGAGGAACTCAGAGCAGAATTATTTTCTGAAATAAAGAATTCTCTGAACTCATAGCATCTGAAGTAGAGAATCAACTACAGAAGCATAGGGAGGAAACCCAATCTGAAAAAGACACTGCAGTAAAAGAATTAATAACTTCTTCTAAAGAAGATATCGATAAAAAAAATAGAGCAGATTACAAAAATGATGGATTCCTTTAATGAGCAATACTGGAAAGTAATCGAATAAAGAAGAGTCAAAGACATATAGAGGAACTTAAAATCTCAATCACAAGCTTGCAAAACCATTTGAGTGAAAGTGAAGACAGAGTTTCAGATCTTGAAGATGCTGGTGCAGCTAGTGAAAAGGTAAGAAAAAATCTCTTAAGAACAACTAGGATGCAGGAAAAAATAATTCATCACTTGCAAGATGATGCAAAGATGAACAGTGTGAGACTCATAGGCATCAGTGAGAAAGAAGGAGTCAGTACAAATGACATTAAAAAAATATGGGCAGAAATAATAGCAGAAAACTTCCCAAATATGCCATGCAGGTAAGTGAAGCATACAGAACACCAAGTTACCACAGCCCAATTAAAAATACACGGAGACATATAATAGTCAAGATCTCAGAAATTCAAGAATAATATAAGAACACAAGAATAATATACTGAAAGTCACTAGAGAAAAGAAGCATATCACATTCAAAAGAAAACCCATCAGAATCATGGCTGACTTCTCTTCACAAACCATGAAGGCAAGAAGAGCATGGAGCAGAGTACTTCAAGTCCTCTATGAAAACAAATTCCAGCCCAGACTA